CCGATGCTGTGCCAGCACTGCTCAGCAGTAGACACAACCCTGGTGTGATAACACTGCTGTTCTAGCTACAGGTGCACAGCACAGCACTGTATAGGCTGCTGCAGGGAAAGTTAACGTTCCAGCCAGACCCAGTACAACAACACAGCTGGAAAGATCTCTTTACAGATGTGCTTGAGTGACAGTACAGGCTGTGGGAGGGCAGGGTCTGAAGCATCTGCTGCATCCTTGCCTACAGGCATGACCAATGCCACAAAGTAGTCATTTGTAGCAGCCAAATAAACATTTAGGTACCATTAACCAGTCTTTTTAAATACGGGAAGGTTGGGTGAGCACAAGGAATCTTGAAAAAAACCTCTGAAAAATGCAATAGGTAGAAACAGGTCACGGGGGAAGGAAGGGGAAGAGTTATTAACCAGTGTTTATGGAAAGGATCTCCAGAGCGATGGTGGAGAAACAGGCAGTGCATGTGGAAAACAGCCACACTGCACTTTTAACTTCAACAGGTTCCAAGATGTACCAAATGAGACAGAGCTCACAAGGTCCTCTCTAGAGAATGCCCAGGGACAGCCCAAGCTGGTGCTGTTCAGGGAATGGGACAAGCCTGCTGCAGCCAAGCAAGGTGGCTAGTGGCACTCCCTGCGTGGGACCTGGCCCTCTTGCAGAGATTTCCAGCTCCTACAGAAAGAAAGAAAGATGGCTTATCCTAACATTTCTAGGTCACAAAATTATACACAGGCTTCAGGGTTATATGGCAGGGCTATTTGCTACCATATGCATTGCCAATGCATAGCAGCAGGGGATGCTGTTTTTTTTTTCAGAAATGGCTAAGTGCTGTTATAACACAGGTAATAATGATAAAAATAGCAGCAATACAATGACACCTGCACCAGCACACTACAACAAAGCTAACTGCAAAGCCTAAATGCTGAAGAGCACTAAATGGTCCTCTCATAGCTCTTGTCACAGATATCTTTACACAGGGTGGGTGGGTTTTGCTCCATATTTCATCTCCAACAACATGCCATGAAGTTGCAAATGGCATTCCTGAGCATGCCAAAATGCCCATGCAGTACAGATAAACACTGAAATGATGATATAAATCTATTTTCAGCTTTCATCTAAATATTTAGGATGTCTCCTCTTATCCCTGTTACTTATTACTTTTATATTGTGAAACCAATTGTGAAAGATGACAAATATAGGATGGCAGGAACAATCAGGCTATGGAATTCCCTCTTGGGACAGAGCCGTGTTCTCATGTGGTGCCTTTTTTTCCCCCCCTTCCTTTTACCTTATATTTTTATGATTAGACAACCACTGTTTAGCCACCTCAGGGAAATGCAAGGTGAATTAGGAGAATATTGCCAAGGTTATCATGGAAAAGTTTAATCTCTCCTCAGTGGAAACCAGTTAATAGCTACGGCTAGACTGAAGTATGGACCTCTGTTGGGAATCCCAGTGAAGGTCAAAGGCAGAGAGGAAAAAAGCTGCATGGAGATCTTAGACAGTCATAAGCAGACAGATGTTCCTAGGCTTTAATGGGCAGTCTTGGCTCCAGGCATTTCTTGGCAGAGTTGTTTAGTTTTAGTATTTTTCCTTGTAGTGCAAGGTATGGCTCTGGTTAGCTGGCTCTGGTTAGTTAACTGCTGATGATTTTTCCATCTAAATAATAGTTTGACAATGAAGAAACCAGTTCATAATCTGTGACATGATGGATTAGGTCATGGGGAATGTTGTGCAGTTGTAATCATGAAGAACAAAAAATAAAAATAATAATTCTGGTTTAAATGAGAACCAGTTTTACAAGTTTAAACAGCAAATCTGATGAAGCTCCTATTGCAAGTTCTACCACTCCATCTTATGTTTTTATTGTCATGGACAATAAACAGAAGGAAAATTACAGGAAATAGACTTTTTCTTGACAAATTATATTTCCAAATCAGCCTGGTGGGGATTATGCCCCTAATTTGGAAACTCTTTTGAGTTCACCAGTGCAGAGAATTTTTTCTTGACAATCTGCTGTGCTTAAGTGAGATAAGTTAAATTGGGAAAATAGGCTCAGCAAACATCTTCTTCTCAGAAGGGAAAGAGGCTACAAATCCAACTGTTATCAGACTGTGAAATCAGTGACTTTCAGTGGACAACTGCAAAAAAGCCCCATCAAAAATTCTGAAGACTTTTAACCCTTGTTTGCTGGGACACAGCTTCCTTACTGCAATAGCTACCACATCGCTTGCCAGAGAAGAATTTTGTTATTTGACAGGCATGTAGCAACCCTGACGTAGCCAGGGACTGAATTCAGTCTCTTCCTATGTTTCAAAGTGTCTAATTTCTGGGTGTCACAACTCGTCTGATATAATGTGATATTGTGAATGGGAATGTTTCCATAGGATAAGCTCTCATTTTAGACTGCTTTTCATTAGAATAGCACAGACCCTGGTCTCAGTGAAGGAAATGGAAATGTCTAGGTGGCTTAAATATGAGCAAACCTTGGATCTCAATCTAATACAAGTCAATAAAAAAATTAAGAGCCTCACATTGGCAGGTTATACATATTCCCTGCTCCCTCTGTGTTCTCTGCTGATTCGCTTTTCTTTTTGAAGGCTATGAATTATGTTTCTTTGAAGCTCTTTTTTAGCACATCAGAATCCCATCCATTGTTGGTTGGTTCAGTAAAGCTCACCCTTTTCCAGAACCAAGAGTGAAATCTGCTTTGTGATAAATATCTGATGGTGCAGGAGCTCTGGGCTTGCTCCCAAGCTAAATTCATTTATATTGCAGCAAAACACCTGCCTCTGTGCCATCACAAATGCAGCTCCCTACTGTAAAGTACAATTCAGTCTTTCAGACAAGATTCAGATTCACAGAATCACAGAATCATCTAGGTTGGAAGAGACCTCCAAGATCACCTAGTCCAACCTCTGACCTAACACTAACAAGTCCTCCACTAAACCATATCACCAAGCTCTACATCTAAACGTCTTTTAAAGACCTCCAGGGATGGTGACACCACCACTTCCCTGGGCAGCCCATTCCAGTGCCTATCAACACTTTCGGTAAAGAAGTTCTTCCTAATATCCAACCTAAACCTCCCCTGGTGCAACTTGAGCCCATTCTCCCTCATCCTGTCACCAGGCACATGGGAGAACAGACCAACCCCAACCTCGCTACAGCCTCCTTTAAGGTATCTGTAGAGAGCAATAAGGTTGCCCCTGAGCCACCTTTTCTCCAGGCTGAACAAGCCCAGCTCCCTCAGCTGATCCTTGTAGGACTTGTTCTCCAGACCCCTCACCAGCTTTGTTGCCCTTCTCTGGACTCTCTCAAGCACCTCCATGTCCTTCTTGTAGTGAGGAGCCCAAAACTGAACACAGTACTCGAGGTGCGGCCTCACCAGAGCCGAGTACAGGGGGACAATCACTTCCCTAGCCCTGCTGGCCACACTATTTCTGATACAAGCCAGGATGCTGTTGGCCTTCTTGGCCACCTGAGCACACTGTTGTCTCATATTCAGCCAACTATCAACCAATACTCCCAGGTCCTTCTCCGCCAGGCAGCTTTCTAAGCACTCATCTCCCAGCCTGTAGCACTGCTTGGGGTTATTGTGCCCCAGGTGCAGGACCCAGCACTTGGCTGTGTTGAACTTCATACAGTTGGCCTCAGCCCATCGATCCAGCCTATCCAGATCCTCCTGAAGAGCCTTCCTACCCTCGAGCAGATCAACACATGCACCTAACTCCATTTAACTCCATTCACCACAACTCTATGGGCCCGGCTATCCAGCCAGTTTTTAACCCAATGAAGTGTACACCAGTCCAAGCCATGAGCAGCCAGTTTCTTGAGGAGAATGTTGTGGGGAACGGTGTCAAAAGCCTTGCTGAAGTCAAGGTAGACCACATCCACAGCCTTTCCCTCATCCATCCAGCGTGTCACTTTGTCATAGAATAAGATCAGGTTCCTCAGGCAGGACCTGCCTTTCATAAACCCATGCTGACTGGGCCTGATCACCTGCTTGCCCTGCAAGTGCCGCGTGATGACACTCAAGATAATCTGCTCCATGAGCTTCCCTGGCACTGAGGTCAAATTGACAGGCCTATAGTTCCCCGGGTCTACCTTCTGGCCCTTCTTGTAGATGGGCATCACATTTGCTAGCCGCCAGTTGACTGGGACCTCCCCCGATAGCCAGGACTGCTGATAAATGATGGAAAGCGGCTTGGCCAGTTCTTCTGCCAGTTCTCTCAGTAACCTCAGGTGGATCCCATCTGGCCCTATCGACTTGAGCACATCCAAGTGCCGTAGCAGGTCGCCAACCATTTCTTCGTGGATAGTGAGGGCCACATTCAGATCCCCATCCCCTTCCGCCAGCTCAGGGTACTGGGTATCTAGAGAACAACTGGTCTTGCCGCTATAGCCTGAGGCAAAGAATTCCTTTCCCTAACACTGCAGGAGAGGAACAGATGTCGTTAACATCCAAAAGAGCTTCCTCCCTTCCCTTCCTATATACCCAGCTTGCATTTCCAAGTCATGTGTCCTCAAACTCTTCAGAGTCACAATTGGCTAGGGTTTATTGTTTTCATGACACCAATCCCTCCCACACTTTTGTACACTTTGTGGGCCAGAGTGAAGACTGCTCAGTACCGTGGCTGTACTCCCAAAGGCTGGGCAATGATAATCACCCCAAGACATCAGATCCCAGTAGGAAGGATGCCTACTTTTCCAACAGGCATTGCAATTGCTGCTGTTGCAGAACACAATGGCCAGATTTTTGGAGGATTTTTGGTCCAAACAAGGATAAATATGCAAAGGCAAGAGAAATATTTATGAAAATTCTGGGTAACAACTCAAATACTTCTAAAAGGTTTCAGCTTAACACATGACCAAAATGGGATGTGACTGCAAAAATAAGTTAGTGATTCAAACATAGTTGTTGGAAACAGCAAGTCCCTCTGTTCAGCATTAAAATTAAAATGCAGTAAGGTAAAATAGAATAAAATGGAGCTTACCTGAAGAGGACAAAGAATCATAAGTGCTTCTGTCCTTCCTATTTGTCCTGAAGGGCTGAATGTCTTTTTCCCTGTAAGTTCCAAACCCTTCAAAGCTTCTTCTTTTATTCCCACTTGCATAATTGTCCCGTTTCTCACTTGAGGAATTCATTTCACCAAACATGTCCAGAGACTCTGATCTTACATTACTCTCAGTATTACTAGAGTATCTTTTTGTGCAAGAGTCAATGGGATCATTGCTCGAGTCACTTTTTTCTTTACTCTGTGTCCACTGCTGGGCATCAGAAAATGATAACGTAGACAGTGTATCCACTTCGAAATTACTCTTTGAGCCTTTGTGCCCAGTTTCACAATGCTGGTGATTCTGCTTCTCCTTATGCTTGCTTTTCTCATTGAGCAAGGACAGATCTTTATCTGAGCCACTTAGCCTTTCATTGATCGCATGGCTGGAGAAGCCAGTGGACTTGCTATCAAAGATATCGTTCAGATCTTCATGCATCCCCAATATCCACTCAGCCTTATGCTTGTGCCTATGTTTGTGTTTCCTTTTGTGAAGTCGGACACTTGAAAAGCTTGTTCCTCCAACCTTTGGAGGGACCAAAGAGGACTGCATGTCTCCAAGGCCCATTCCCACAGATGTTTGTAGGTGCACTGCATGTTTTGTTTTATGCTTGGCAGTGGTGGACATCTTCATATGAGAGCTCACATGGAATTGGGGTGGGGGCACAGTAGGTCTCATAAATGGGGAAGCTGCTCCGAGTGTGTGAGACAGGTACAAAGGAGCTGGATACTGACCATAGTAACCAAGATTCATCATAGGCATTGATGTGTAAGGCATTCCATAGGGTGCATAGTAACTCCCACTGGGAATAGGGTAACCAAACCCTTGTAAAAAAGGCACCTTTGTCATGGTGTCATTGGTTTTGGCAGGTCTACCACGCTTCTTAGATTTCATGTCAGAGGTCCTGTGAAGATAGAGCAATGGGTCATACTGGATATATGGCACAGGACAGTAGTGATCAAAATTAATCCTGAAGATGCTGGGATATGGATTTTCATGATAAAATGTGTAACTTCGATGGGAAATCCTGAACACTTGAAACTTATTGATGAGTTCCTCAAGGTCTGCCAGAAACTGGAGGTCATCTCTATTCTGCAGGCTTTTCCTTTTCCTCTTGTGCTTTGGCTTTTTAATGCTCTCATGAGAGAGAAAGTTATCCGTAATTAGATGCTTCTGCCGGTGACCATGCCTGTTCTTTGTGCTGGTGTCGGATGGGATAGCCTCTGGATTGTCCAGGCTGCAGAAATCAAAGGAGTATCTCCGGCGAGATTCTGAACTTTTCTCAGCTTGGTCAGAAGTGCTGTTGTTGTCTGTACCTATTCCACTGTCGCTTGGTATGGTTTCCTCGCTGTGAGACTCACTCACTGGCGATAGCGTGACTTCTTTCAGAGAACCTATTTCACAGAGGTGGGAAGGTGAATTAGCCATTAACCTGGGTGGAGACAGCTTCCAAGTTCCACTGAGCATTCCTTTCTGGGTTTTTGTAGGAAGAGCACTGATAGGTTGAAGATTTGGCATAGTTTTTAACTCTGAAAAATTTGTTTCAGTACTTGCAGGGCTAAGGTTGCCATTAGTCCCCACTAACTGTGTCGAAAGCTGATGAATAGTTGCTGGTGACAATGCCACAAGTGATTGCAAGTTGGAAGGCACTGCTGGGTTTTCTGGCTGGCTAGAAACAGGCCTTGAGTGCTTGATGGCTGTCTTAGGTTCTTCTGGTTGAGGCTGCAGCTCTGCTCTTGGCTTCCTACCCCGTTTTTTACCAATGTAGATAGTCCCCCTCTTGCTGACATTGATCTGCTTCCCTAGTCTGGCATCAATGGTTGTTGGCTCAGCACTAGATGGTGGCTGGACTTTTGCTTTCAGAGCTATGCTGCTGGAGCAGGAGGACAAGATCTGATTGAGAATATTCTTCCTCTCAAGGGTCTTCATCTTGTTAATGGTCTTGATAGTCTTCTTATCCAAGACCCCAAGCTTCCCAACCTTTTTGTGAAACTTGAGTTCACCGATGGACTTGTCTTCTCCTGGGATCATCTGGGCTAACTTGGCCAGATTCCGTCTCCTCTTCCTTTTCTTTGTTCCTGGAAATTCACGATTGATTGGACTCACTGGGCTGGTAGAGGTTCCCTCATGAATGGTTTCAACAGTGAGCAAAGGCTGTTTCTTTGGTCGTCCTCTTTTTTTCTTGACAGGTGTGATCACAGTAAGACTGTCTGTATTGGTATACAGAGGGCTGGATGGTGTGATGGGATAGGCTGAAGGAGGCTCCACCATCAGCTTCTCAGATACTGTCATGGAAATCTCCTGAAGGATAGATTTAGGTTTGCTGCAGGTCCATCGCCTCTTAGCTGCAAGTTTGGGGTGCTGGACCTCAGATAATTTGCTAGCTGTGGGAAGATTGGTGGATAGGAGAGTGGATGTCACAGTTACAGATTTTCTGAGTCTGGTGGCACTGTTGAGGGAAGCTTTGTCAGTAAGCACACTGCTGTCAACAGCTACTAAGGGGGACTCATTTTCAATCACTTTCCCTGGCTTTGTGGCTCGAAGATCTTTTTTACTCCCCTCTGACTGAGAACTAGTCCTGTTTGCTACTTCACTGCTCATAGCAAGTGCAGAAGGCAGGCTTTTCTCCTGGATAGTTTTCTCCATGGAAGATTTTGTAGATTGCCTTTTTTTCCTTTTGTGGCCAGATGTATCTGTTGTCAGAGAATTTATTGGGATAGCAATTTGTACATGACTAGTGTCACTTTCACAACTGCTAGCAGAAGTGGGATTCTGCATCGAGGGTGATGCATCCAACACAGTGTCCATCGAGTAAGACTCCTTTTTTCCTTCCATGCTGTCATGGGATTTACTATCAAATGCTTTCTGAGCACTCTTCACCCATTCAATGTCTGCAGTTTGGATGGTTTGACTTATCAAGTCCTTTTTGCTGGACTTCTTCTTTGTACTCCCAGCAGGCTGATCGGGGGCCTCCAGCTGCACTCCTCCCTCTTGATTACCAAGAGGCAACAGCCCATGGCACTCAGAAGCGCTGCTTGGCTGGGCAGACACACTAATGTTGTTGGGTGATGGGACTGTACTGCATATGGCAAGCTCTTTGCTGCTGGCCGACAGCTGCCCCCATGTGCTACTGGCACAGGACTTCTTTGCTTGGGATTTGCTGAAGGAAACTCCTGGCTCTGGGGTGGTGACCTTGGTGGAACTAACTGCTTCTAGACTGGGTTCTGTGTTGATGAAGCAACTTTGAGAAGTGGATAATGTGTCTGACCTTGCTGACCAGTCAAGATGGTGCTGGTTGCTACTTTTCTGATGTTGCTTTGATTTTAAGGTGTCACCAGTGAAGTCTTGTTGGAGGCCTGGATCATAGTGCAGAGCAGAATGCTTTTGTGGCCTGTCATATACCTGGAAGGTAGAAGAAAAAAATAGGAAAAAAGTTAGTTTATCAGTCCAGTCACAACCACTGGCTGCAGCTCTTTCATTGTACAGTGAATAACAGCTCCTCTAAGCTGAGGTCCTCATAAGGGTTAGCAGCCTTTATAAAATACTTCAGTCAAATTTGTTTTTAGATTCATGCACTGTAAACAAGTTTTGTTTTCCCATTCTAAAAACAATAGAAATACTTCTAGAAATAGAAACAATAGAAATACTTCTATAAATGCTAATTTGCTGAGGAAACATCTTCTATTGATTTTTAATTTAAAAAACAAGTAAAATATTCCTTTTCAATGGATAAATGGTGTAACTCGGCCTCCTGGTGAGAATCTCTTTTTCCTTAAACATAATCCCTTGCAGAACTTGATGATCAGAATTAAGCCCATTGTAAATAACAAGAATGCAGAATTATCTAGGAAGTTACAACAAGAGGAAAACCCATGAGTTCACTTCCCCATGAAGCCAAAATCTGCAAAAATATACTTCCTTTAATTTTCGCTTAGAAGTCATCCCCACAAAATCAGTGCTTAAAAGCGAGAAGCATAGCATCAAGTGTGTTGGGTATGCTTGTTAGGTTCAAGATTTGCATTATTATTTTTCAATTTTAATAATCTGCTATTTGCATTGTTGGTAAGAGATATTTTCAATATGATTTCTAATCCAACAGAAGCCTTTCAAACTGCAGGGGTAACTGTAAGGGCAGAATTACACCGAAAACTTTTATAGAGTAAAAGAAAGTCTGCTTTTTTTCTTGGTAGGTATCCTTCAGATAAAAAAATTATACTTGTTACATCTGTACCTTTTTCTAAAATGTCTTAAAAGAAACAAATAAACCTACATTTTACTTTCCATAACTGACCTCTTCTAGTCATTTGTTTTCTCCTGTGACATTTAGGTGCTATATTTTCTAAAGTTCTGGACCAAACTGTGCAACTGAATTTGTACACCTAGTACTACAAACAAACTGTTCTTAGCAAACTGCAATGACACTATTCTGAATTCCAAATAAATGATGAGAGACTTAAAATAAATGCGTAACCAAGGAAAGAACAATAGAAAGTAATTGCTTAGCATCTCATGTTCCTGCAAACACGCTGTTACAATTAAGTTTCTATCAGCTGCCCTACATTAGATCCCTGCTTGGGGTGTTCGCCAGAGATTTTGGGGTCAGCATAACAGGGCTCTGAGGTCCTTCAGACTTAGTTTTCTGGGAAACAATGCGTCCCTAGTTTTGGGCAACTCTGGAGGAATTTGAAAGTTGCTATACAGTTGAAGCCCACAGTACTTTATTTAGTGACTAATAAACATGCATGTTATCATCAAATTGATAATGTGATATCCTTAGTGTGCATATAAAAATGGGCATGTGGCCTTTCTGGAATAGGCAGCAATGATGAAGCTGTTCTAGCCCATCATCTGAGGAGTAATCAGGGACTCTTAAATCCTGTGGATAGCTCAGCTGTCATTCATATGGACCAGCTATGCTTGGGGATAGCAGAGACTTCCAGGAATTGTGAAGTGAGAAAATGAAAGCACACAGTGGAGCTGCAGATGTCGCAAGCGAGTGATACCGTTTTTTTTCAGCCTGAGAAAAAAGCCAAAAGCATAAACAGACCTGTAGAGGGTTTACGTGGCAAGGTTTTGGTAGCAGGGGGACATAGGGGTGGCTTCTGTGAGAAGAATCCAGAAGCTGTCCCATGTTAGGTAAGGGCCCCGCTGCTGGCCAGAGCCAGGCCAGTAAGTGATGTTGTTTGCGCCTCTGTGGGAGCATATTTAAGACAGGGGAAATACTGCTGCAGTAGAGCATCTGGGAGAGAGAGAGAGAAGTGAGAAACAGCCTTGCAGGTGCCAAGGTCAGTGAAGAAGGAGGGGGAGAAGCGCTCCAGGCACCGGAGCAGAAGTCCCCTGCGGCCTGTGGTGAGGACCATGGTGAAGCAGGATGTCCCCCTGCAGCCCATGGAGTACCACGGTGGAGCAGGGTTCCACGCTGCAGCCCGTGAAGGAGACCACAGTGGAGCAGGTGGACCTGCACTGATGGAGGCTGCAGCCTGTGGAGGACTCCTGCTGGAGCAGATTCCGGGCCGGACCTGTAGCCCGTGGAGAGGAGACCACGCAGGAGCAGGTGACCTGGCAGGAGCTGCTGCCCATGGGGGAGCCAGGTTGGAGCAGCATGCTCCTGATGGATGGACCCTGTGGTACGGACCTATATCTGGAGCAGTTCTGGAAGAGCTATTGCTTGTGGGAAGCCCATGCCAGATCAGTTCAGGAAGGACTACATCCTGTGGGAGGGACCCCACAGTGCAGGGGCAGAGTGACCGAGAAGGAGCGGCAGAGACGAGGTGCTGTAGACTGACCATAACCCCCATTCCTCCGTTCCCCTGCGCCGCTCGGGGGGAGGATGTGGAAGAGGGTGGATGGGAAGGAAGGTGCTTTTGGTTTCTTTCCTTTGTTTCTCACTTCTCTAGCTTGTTAGTAATAGGCAATAAATCTTACTATCTCCCTACTCTGAGTCTGTTTTGCCCATCACGATAATTGTTGAGCGATCTCCCCATCCTTATCTCAACCCTTGAGCCCTTTGTGTCGTATTTTCTCCCCCTTCCCCTTTAAAAAGGGGAAGTGAGAGAGCGGCTGTGGTGGAACTTGGCTGCCCAACCAAGTAAAACCACCACAAGACCTCGGGGAATGAATCAGTTCATCCTCCTCGCAGTGGCCTCCCACGCATGAGCCACACAGCGCACAGCGGCCCAGGGCCACGCGGCTCCTGAAGCACGATACCAATGTCTGCCTTGGTAAAATACGAGAGAAAATGCAGTCCACCCACTTCCACATCCTCGGGATGAGGTTTAATAGCTTGCTGTGCCTCGCAGAAAACATCCTTTCTCCAATGTACCATGATTTCTGACTTGGAAAAAGCCTAGAAATGGGCAGCAGAGGCCTCTCCTGGCCTGCACCGAGGCAGGACTAGGTTGCTTCTGCGGAGATCCCAGCCTTGTGGCTGCCATCAAAACAACTCCTTCCCCTCACGTTATTTCCAAAATGCAAAGCTGCAAAACTATATGACCTGAAGAATTTCATTTGTAAGAGAGGCTTACAGCAGTGAGTGAAAACATCACAAGCTGGCAACACCTTGGTCCCTCCGAGCACACTGTACACACAGAGATCTCTGGTTTAAAAGAAGCATTACTCTCTGATCTATGTTTAAAGGCAGTTAATAAGGGCTCAGAACTGAGAGGCCAGTTGTACATCAGAGATGAGTGCTGATATATCAGTTGGCTCCTCCAGCATCATTTCCTTGTCCTGCACATTAAAAAATGATTATGCAACTTCCAACATATCCCTAATGATAGCCTTGTCACCACTGCAGCACCACAGGCCACCACAACATCCATCGTACAACTCATGAGAAAGATATGCCCCTGTCATCAAAGGTGCCAATTCTAGAGGCATTTAACCACACTGATAATCACTCCAAATTCAACAGGGCTTCAAAACAATAACTAGTCTATGGGATTAGGGGACTTCATTTCCTAAGCAGGATGTCAAAATTACATATCTGCTGAAGCACATAACAGTCCACTGGGTCTCCTCATGCTACTTCTTCCAGTATAAGGTTTCCTATTTGCTCTCCGCTGCCAGACACATCCACGTCACCCCAAAATAATTCTTCTGCAGCGTGGTAACCAGAGATCATGTGGCTGCAGCAGCTTGTGTTTCACTGGCTGGAATGAATAGTGGGGACTGTCTACTTAAAAGCATGGGAAATTTGGTTGAAAGTAATGCAGCAAAATCTCTTTTAATCATTGTGTGTCTGTCCTGGTTTCAGTTAGGACAGAGTTAATTTTCCTCCTAGTAGCTGGTAAGGTGCTATGGTTTGGATTAGGATGAGAAGAGTGCTGATAAGAGGATGATAAGAGTCCTGAAAAGCAAGTCTTATGGTGAAAGAATAGAGTCAGACAATGGGACTCATTTCCCAAACAACCTTATAGACACTTGGGCCAAAGAACATGGTATTGAGTGGGTGTATCACATCCCCTATCATGCACCAGCCTCCAGGAAAGTTGAACGATACAATGGACTGTTAAAGACTACATTGAAAGCAATGGGCGCTGGGACATTCAAAAATTGGGATACGCATTTGGCAAAGGCCACCTGGTTAGTCAACACTAGGGGATCTGCCAACCGAGCTGGACCTGCCCAATCAAACCTGTTACGTACTGTAGAAGGGGATAAAGTTCCTGTAGTTCACGCGAGAAATATGCTGGGTAAAACAGTCTGGGCTACTCCTGCCTCAGGAAAAGGCAAACCCATTCGTGGAATTGCTTTTGCTCAGGGACCTGGATGCACTTGGTGGGTAATACAAAAAAATTGAGAGGTCCAGTGTGTACCTCAAGGGGATTTAATACTTGGTGAGAGTAGCCCATGAGTTGAATTGTATCATGTTAATTATTATATAATACTGTATGTCATCACTACCATGACTACTATATACCCTAGATGAAAATGGTGATTAATTAGAATGTATGGGAAAGAGTGTAACCTGAGCATGACATAAATGGTATGGAATAAGGGGTGGATAGATGTCCTGGTTTCATTTAGGACAGAGTTAATTTTCCTCCTAGTAGCTGGTAGAATACTATGTTTTGGATTAGGATGAGAAGAGTGCTGATAACACACTGATTTTTCAATTGTTGCAGAGCAGTGCTTACACCAAGCCAAGGACTTTTCAGCTTCTCACCCTGTCCCACCAGCGGGCAGGAAAGGGGTGCAGCAGGAGCTGGGAGGGGACAGACCCAGGATGGCTGACCCAAAGTGGCCAAAGGGGTATTCCATACCATCTGACGTAATGCTAAACAATATATAGGGGTGGTTAGCTGGGGTGGGGGGTGGGCCGGCTGCTCAGGGATAGGCTGGGCATCGGTCAGCGGGTGGTGAGCAATTGCATTGTGCATCACTTGTTTTGTACACATTAT